TATCTTTATGGGTTTTTACATGAAAACCACCTAAACATTTGTCTAAATTGATGCTTGTCACCTTTCCTTTTTATTTTGGGAAAAATGCTTCCAGCCCCCAAAAGCTAAGGAAACGTGCTTCCCACCCTCAAGACTTGGCCAATGGGTGTTTTACCCCCCAAAAATAAAGATTCTGTTCTCTGAGCTCCCAAAACACAAAACCCAAGAGATTAAAATATGTGAAGACCATAATACCCTTCTCTCTGAGCTCCCAAAACACAAAACCCAAGAGATTAAAATATGTGAAGACCATAATACCCTTCTCTCTCTCTTTCTTTTTTTATTAAAATATGATGAGGATTATTTTATTATTTTTGTTTTCTCTCTCTCTCTTTATCATAATGTACTAAGATGATAGTTAAAATGATTGATTATTATTATTTTATTTTTTATTTTATTATTTTTGTTATTTGTATTGGGACATTGTTAAAGTTGCGGGTTAATTGTTAAGGTTACGAGTTAATTGTTAATGTTACGGGTCAATTGTTAAGGTTATGAATCATCTCTCTCTCTCTCTCTCATGATGTTACTTTGATGATATTGAAATGATTGAAGAGCATTATTATTTTTGTTTTTTATTCTTTTCGTATTTTTAGAATATTCGTTGTTAAGGATAATGGTTGGTTGTAAAGGTTATACATTGATTGTTAAGGTTACGGGTTGGTTGTTAAGGTTATGGGTTTGTTGTATATGTTACGGATTTGTTGTTAAGGTTACAGGTTTAATTGTTAAGGTTACGGGTTTAATTGTTAAGGTTACATGTTTAATTGTTAATGTTACGGGTTTAATTATTACGGTTACAGTTTAATTGTTAAGGTTACGGTTTAATTGTTAAGGTTATGGGTTTAATTGTTAAGGTTACGGGTTTAATTATTACGGTTACGTGTTTAATTGTTACGGTTACGGGTTTAATTGTTAAGCTTACGTGTTTAATTGTTAAGGTTACGGGTTAATTGTTAAGGTTACGGGTTTAATTGTTAAGGTTACGGATTTAATTGTTAAGGTTACGGGTCAATTGTTAAGGTTATGGATCCCTTTTCTCTCTCTCGTAACCTTAACAATTAAACCGTAACCTTAACAATTAAATCCATAACCTTAACAATTAAACCGTAACCTTAACAATTAAACCGTAACATTAACAATTAAACCTGTAACCTTAACAATTAAACCCGTAACCTTAACAATTAAACCCGTAACCGTAACAATTAAACCCGTAACCTTAACAATTAAACCCATAACCTTAACAATTAAATCGTAACCGTAACAATTAAACCCGTAACCTTGACAATTAAACACGTAACCTTAACAATTAAACCCGTAACCTTAACAATTAAACCCGTAACTTTAACAACAAATCCGTTACCTACACAACAAACCCATAACCTTAACAACAAACCCGTAACCTTAACAATCAACCCGTAACCTTAACAAACAATGCATAACCTTTACAACCAACCATTATTCTTAACAACAAATATTCTAAAAATACAAAAATAATAAAATAATAATCCTCTTCAATCATTTCAATATCATCAAAGTAACATCATGATAGAGAGAGAGATGGATAGATAGATAGAGAGAGAGAGAGAGAGAGAGAGAGAGAGAGAGAGAGAGAGAGAGAGAGTTCATAACCTTAACAATTGACCCGTAACATTAATAATTAACTCGTAACATTAATAATTAACCCGTAACTTTAACAATCTCCCAATATAAACAACGAAAATAATAATAAACAAAAATAATAAAATAATTATCATCAATCATTTCAACTATCATCTTAGTACATTATGATAAAGAGAGAGAAAAAACGAAAATAATAAAATAATCATCATCATACTTTAATAAAAAAGAAAGAGAGAGAGAGAGAAGGGTATTATGGTCTTCACATATTTTAATCTCTTGGGTTTTGTGTTTTGATGGCTTAGAGAACAGAATTTTTATTTTTAGGGGTAAAACACCCATTGACCAAGTCTTGAGGGTGGGAAGCACGTTTCCTTAGCTTTTGGGGGCTGGAAGCATTTTTCCCTTTTATTTTTGATCAAAACCACATTTACTTGCATATATGTTTGCAATGTCACACCTAATTGATTTTTCAGCTAAAAAAGACCTAAACTTCTGAAAATACCCTCAGTCAGTGCATGCAAAGCACTTGTATCCCAATTAATTATTAAAAAAGGATTTTTTAATGTTAGTCTCCCAAATCTTTCATATTTTGATATTAACCCCCCAAATCTATCATATTTTGAAATCAGTCCTCGAATCAATGTCGTCCTTGTGGAAGAGGATTATGAGGAGGTTGAGATTGTCGATTTTTTGCTCCTTAGCTAGGGTCTCAGGGGTTTTTTCTTGGATTGGAGGGTGGGAAGGAGAGAATATTAAGGGGGAGGTGAGGTTAAGCTTTGGGGGAGAATTGAGGGTAGGTTTTCTTGGATTGGAGGCGAGGATTGAGGGAAGCTAAGGCTAGGGTTTGGGAATTGGGAAATATGGTTTGGAGACTTGGGTTTGGAAATACG